AACTCAGTATATAAATATAAAAATAAATAAATAAAACTCACGGCTTGTGGGGCTGGCCAGCTGCTTCCTGTGCCTAAATAAGAACAAATAGACACACACGACAACAAAAAACAATGAAATTAATTTAACTCATAATACACAATAATATAAAGATAAGGATTAAAATAAAACACCACGGCGATTGCGCACGCAAATAATGAAATGTATAATACAAAAAATACACTCTGCGATTAGAGCCTATAGATTTATAACAATAAAAGAAACTTCGGCGATTAGAGACTAGTAATATTACAAAATCGAGGCTACTTGAACCGTTGAAAACGTAATAGTAAGACTTGACAATTTGCGCCCGTGAATATAATAATTTATAGATCCACGTTAGCAATAAGGAACGGAATAAATAATAATTTCACTTATATTAGTTTACGGTGATTCGGGCACGTAAAAATGATTTCGCCAGTCGCGATGACCGCCTTCAGCGAACTGCCAACGGATTGCGTTAAGGTTATTATCGTTAGCGATAATTTCCCATCGGCCTCTTTTTAAATGGTTTATGGTAGCTTCACGTATTATTAGTTATCAATCTAGTTTATTCTATGTATCTGTGATAAAATCAAAATCAAGAATAAAGTTATTCCGTCTCAGTTTCTCCGTTTCAGTTATGCCGATTAAATACTTCAATATGCTTTTAATAATTTGCGTAAATTATAACAAAAACATATTCAATTAAGCTCTGTAAATTGTGAACCAGTAAAGAGTTTAGGTCAAACAATTGAACATATCGAGATGTCAAATCATAAAAATATTAAACTTTATTTAATTGTGATGGAAAATTCTGCAAAAAAAAGTTTTATTAGGTCGCTCGATGGTTAGATAAATTGTATTCGAACTGGAGATTAAATATGTGTCTAAATCGTATAAGAAGAAGAAGTAGTGTAGATTGCAAAATCTTGAAAAATATTATTAACTCCGTAAATAATAATAAATAATAATAATTGTGTTCTAAGTGAAACAGACTTAATTAAAAATGTTAAACTCAAGTTTCCTGGGGTGGTTAAATTAAATGATAAATTAACTGATTATATAAAATACCACGAGGTCAATTTATCCTTAAAAGAAAATAGCATACCAGTTTTTCATAGAGCATAATATTAAGTTCCGTACGCACTGAAGTCTGCTGCAGAAATTGAGTTGAATAGATTAGAAGTAGAAGGAATTATAAGTAAGGTTTCAATTAGTGACTGTTCATCTCATATTATAGTAGTACCAAAAAAGTTATACAATTATAAAATATGTCGGTTTAAGAACTACTTACCTTTAATCCAAAATTATAAATTTAACAACACCCACTACGAAAAGTCGTACGATGATGTTTAATAAGTTATTAGGGAGAAAAGTGTTCAGAATTTTGGATTTAACAGATGCATATATTTGCAATTACAGATTACGCCCAGAAGTCATATGTTTCTTATAATTAATTCTCATAAATTGCTGTATTTTTTTTAAATTGTTTTTATGTTATGAGTAGCATCAGCGCCAAGTATATTTCAGTCAGTTTTTGAAAATATTCGACGAGGTGTTTTTAGAGTACAAGTATAATATTTAGATAACATAATAATCTGTGGCTCTTCAAGGCCGGAGTATCAAGAAAATGTGAATATGGTTGTAACAAAGTTTAAATAGGTATAGAGTGAAAGTCAATTTTCAGAAATATCAGTTTTATTGTTCATGTACATTGTGATGAAAATAAAACGGATGTGATAAGAAATGCACTGTGTCCTTATTATTTAGTGCAATTAAAATCATTTCTCGGTCTCATTAACTATTATCAACATTTTATTTAAATGTCGTCACTCGCCACCTATAAGTTATAACTTCCCTTTTACAATTCAACAAAAATTAAAATACCCTGGAATTGACCAGATGAATGTCGGTTAACTTTTAAAAAATTAAAACAGGCATTAATAAAAAGTAAATTGTTATTTTAATACTGATTTAGTTATAGTAGTTACGTGTGACAGTTCAAGCCATGGTGTTGGTGCAGTTCTTAGTATGTTAATAGGAGTGGGAAGAGGGGCAAGTTTTATTCGCTTCTAGGACCTTATCAATGGCAGAATATGTGTTTTGCACAAATTGAACGTGAATGTTTAACAATAATTTTTGCAGTAAAGAAATTTTTATAAATATTTGTTTTCACTCAAATTTATTTTAGTAACTGATCTTTTGCCATTAAAATCAATTTCTCTACAAGTTTATTTTATTTTTTTCCACATTTTGTTTAACATTACACTTCATAAAAACATGATTTGGTAAAACATTCACCTGAGCACCATTATCTCTTTTCAAATGTATATGTTGATTCTCAACCATACAGTTTATAACCCAACCTTTATCTGTTGCCGTATCCACATTAATGTTGCCTAAAAATAATACTTCATGTTTTTTCATTTTATACACTTTTTTATATTCTCTACGCTATTACTTTTATTAGTTACCTAACCTACCTGCAGGCTGTCCTTGGAAATCTATATGGAACAAATTAAATGTGGTTTAACAGTCAATACTTTTAATGAACATGGAGAAAAAAGGTGAGAAATCAGTTAAATTTTTGAATTGGAGTGGTAAAATAACCTTTATTTCGAAAAAAAACAATAATCAGAAAGACAATTTTTCCTGAAATATCAAGAATTCTTACTTTTATCATAATATAAGACAAGTATATATGAATGTAGTATAATATAATTTATTGAAAATATAATTTACATATAATTATTAATTAATTAAACATTATCGTTTACAGAATCGCTAACAGAAGTGTACTTCTCAAGTACGTATTGTTTATTTAATTTTTATATTACATAAAAGTAGAAAGGGATCATCTGAAACAATAATGTTTTTTATTAATTTATTGTTTTGGAACAGTAAAAATTCTTCTATTTATCACATTTCTTGTTATTTTTAATAGAACATTTTTTTCAGTTTTGTAATGGTTGCTAAAATAAAAATAACTCTAGAAAATTATTCAAAATGATATGGATGAATTTATAAAAAAAACGGAAATGTTTTCGTAACTCCAGTTTTCCGATAATCATTTTTTTTTATATTTTCATTTTGAAAACTACAATCTGTAACAGAGTTGGTGTTACTAAAAGTGTGATGGTATTATGGGTATTGGTGAGTGAGAAAGGATTGTAATCACTAATCAGTAATATAAATTTAGCTCAAGAAATAAGAACGATATAAATTTAAATACTTAACCCAATATATCAATTTTAATGACCTTTTCATTACATTTTGCAAATTGTTGAGCTATTTATAATTTTTTTTTTTATATATGCTTACACTTATTGACTATACATTATTAAATTAATGAAATGCTTGGAAGATCAGAAATAAAAATATATTGGGCAAAAACGTCCTTCAAAAAATATCACAGTCTGAGATAAAAATCCGAATATAAAAACTGATTTATACATAGATAGTGAAAAGCAAGAGCTGAAACAATGTAGGTATAGCGTTGGTTATGTAAAGTTTTGTAAACATTCGTCATTAGTAAAAAGCGTAAATTGTTCACTTCAAAAAAGTTACATCTCAATATTAGGAAAAGACTTACTAAACATATGCATGGAGGGTCACAATACATCAATTTGAATAATGGATAATTAATGACACTGAAAAGCAAAACAAATATAAGTCAAAGATATAAGGTGCTTTAGGCGGTGCTTTAGGCGTATGGAAAGCAAAGTTGGATGAAGAGAAAACCAAACCAAAAGGTACTTAGAACTGTGGTAGATAAACGCACATTCATAGATGCGATTAGAGCAAGTCACTGAAAAATGGTTGGACAGTAGACATGTCCTGAAATTCCCAGACGAGTTGCTTAATATAATACTAAAGGCATAGACATTTAGTGCAATTACACCAAACTGGGTTTTCAAAAAAATGTTACAAGTCGGTTGACCGTAGCTTCGTACTTGGAGAGTTTGTAGATAGATATCGTAAATAAAGTAACAAACACACGTTTAATATTCAATTAATAGTTAATTGCGTTTTTTGAACATAGACAGACAATAGCACTATCTCCATTCTCCACTGCCCGTCTTACCATCTTAATCTTCCTTATATCTAAACTTATGTTGGACAATCCCTCCTATATAAAAAGTGCTTACTCGCAGTTTCGGGATTGTACCTGTTTACACTAATTTACAATAATCATTTTATTTCGTAATTCTAAATGTTTTATAAATACTATATTTCTAATTTGTTTACTAACTGCTACATCCTTACTTACTTCCTATATTTAATAATATCAATTCATAACAAAAATAATACAATTGTTGAGCGCGTACCATAATTCCGCACTCAATCGTATATTTTGTTTCGATCGGTATCGGCTGTTTCTTGTTCAATTATTAGCTTCTGTAATATTGCTCGATTCTCATTGAATATGTGAGGAAATCCTCTCCAGATTCCTGTTTCATTGCATACAATTATAGGTATAAATATGGTGTGGTTCTTTGTGATTCATGATTTTAAAAGGTAGCATAGTTCTTCCCATTTCTCAAGTGTTCTGTACTTAATTACTTGACGATCTTTACCCATTAATAATGTTTGAATTGCTTGCAATAACTTTGGTATTGCTTCTTTTGCAATGCAGGTTACAGCAAATTCACATTTTTCCAAAAAAATTTCGAGTGACTCTATGTCCTTTTCATCAAAAGATTCTGGTAATAATCAAAGAGCGTCCTAAAAGGTCACTCGGAACATGTTTCTATTGTTCGATACAGGTTTTGTGTTGAAATTGGCTGAATGTAATGCTCCGCTGAATTTCGAACAATGATTTTCCGGATGTCATCCATTATTTCTTTTGTTTCGCTGTTTTGATTGCTTTCTTCGCTCATTCCGTTTTGATATTGACTCATTATTAATGAATAGTCTTGATGTAATAGCCAACCTGTTGAAGACCTATTGATATAGTTTATTTGGGAATGGGACTTTTCGGCGCGGGCGATTCGGCGCCGACAGTTCGGCGCGGACGTTTCGGCGATATGTCAATTCGACGATGTCCGTTTCGGCGCGTGACCGTTTCGGCGATACGGCAATCTACCTATCTGTAACATTGTCTCACCGTATGGCGTGTGGTATAGAAATGTTATCTTTATTACTATTGTTATTATTACTACAAGATAAATCGACATCACGATAGTCGATATGGATGATCTGATAATTTTATAATTTTATAATTTAGTTAGTCTGCGGAAAGTGAAGTAGGTACACCTATACGTAGTCAAGTTTTTTGTGTAGGTATTATTTTTTTTATCATTCGTAAAAGTTAAAAAATGTCAAAAGTAAAATCAAAAAGAAACAAAAACGTGATCCCCGTGGATGGTTTTATGTTCATATTTGATAAGCTAAGTGCTGACGAAACTAAACGGTTTTGGCGATGTCGTCGTAAAGATTTGTCTTGTCCGGCTCGAATACATACCAGTATACATGATTTTAAAGTTTTAAAATTATCTGCTAAAAAACATTGTCATGATTCTGAAGCGGCTAGAATAGAAGCAGACACAGCTATAACGAGTATGCGTCAACGAGCTATTTTAACAATGGAACCTACGTCTTGTGTAATTAATGAATGTGTTAACGGGCTATCAGATGCGGCAAAGGTACACACATTAAATTTTATTTCCCTATCTGGTCCGTATTGTAATAACTAATAAATAATTTTAATTTTAATTTATAGGGCGTTTTACAATCTTCCGAAGCTCTAAAACGACAAGTACGGCGTATAAGAAATAATGAAATAGCAGCTCCATGTGATCCATCAGATTTATTATCTTTACAGATACCCGATGAGTATCAAAATTATTCACCATCAATCGGAGTTAATGAACATTTTTTATTGGCTGATAGTGGGCCTAGCAATGAAAGAATATTAATATTTGGTCGACCACTTGGTCTCAAGTTATTAAAAGATTCGAAAATATGGTACATGGATGGAACTTTCAAAGTGGCACCAACTTTATTTTGCCAAGTTTATGTCATTTTAGCTGAATTTTTAGGGGGAGTGCATCCTGCAGTTTATGCATTTCTACCTAACAAAAAGGAACAAACATATGTACAATTATTTAGTATGATTAATCAATTACAACCTGATCTCCATCCAACATCAGTTTCTTGTGATTTTGAACTTGGAGCCATCACAGCAATAAAAAATTCTTTTGAAAACATTAATATTTTTGGGTGTTATTTTCATTTAAGCCAAAATTTTTTGAAAAAAGTTGGAGAGTTACATTTACTGTCAAAATATAATAATGAAGCAAACTTTTGTGTTGCAACCAAAACAATTATTGCGCTGGCGTTTATACCATTGTGTGATTTAGATATGGCTGCAGATGAGTTGGCAAACGAACTTCCAGATAAGCTTATACCATTATTTGAGTGGTTTGAAGAATTTTACATTGGGAAGAAAAATCGACGTATAGGACGAAGAAAACCACGATATTCTCCTGAAATGTGGAATCTTCACCAACGAATATTGAATGATACAGATCGGACAAATAATCATGCAGAGGCGGCAAACCGACGATTAAATATTCAAATGGGTACTCATCCAACGATATGGACCTTCATTGAGAATCTCAAAAAAATTCAAGCCGGGCGTGACACGTACTATGAAAATCTTGTGTCGGAAAATAGTCCACCAAAGAAATTGAAAAAATTTCAAGATACAGATAAAAGAATAAAAAGGTTAGTAAATAATTATGATAGGCAAAATAAAATGATATTTCTAAGAGGTATAGCAAATAATATTGCTTTAAAATAAAATTGTAGATAATTTTTTTTTTATATATTGGCTAAATAATACCTAATTATAATTATTTTGATTTATTTATTTACGATTTAAAGGGACTGTGGTATACATATATATATAAACATTTTACTTTATTCAATTATACTATATAACTATAAAGATTTTTATTTATTCATTTATTAATGATTTAAAGTGACTGTGGTATTTTTATTTATGATTTAAAACTACTTATTGTATTATACATATAATACGTTTTTACATTATATCACATTTTTTTTTTTACTATTAATTTTCGCCGAAATGGTCGCTCGCCGAAACGGACATCGTCGAATTGACATATCGCCGAAACGTCCACGCCGAACTGTCGGCGCCGAATCGCCCGCGCCGAAACGTCCTAGATCCAGTTTATTTCGTTCCAATCGATACTCTTCTCAGCAGTCACTGGGTGATCTATTTGTTGTTTGTTTTCTTGTGTTTCTTTATTTTTCAGATGATCTGATGAAGGCAACTGAGGGTTTGTGGTGTCCAAAATAATTTTGCACTCGACCAATAAGTTCGACGTAGTGTCTAATATTACTTCAGCACTAGATACCTATTAACCTATTTGACTGATTTAGCAATAAGCAAAAGGTTCTGCGTACTAATTACTAACGATTTATTACTACTAATAATATCGTTAATCTATAAAATTATAACTATCAGCAATGCGAAACAAGTTTACAAAATAACTTATTACTACCTACAACTTAAATTGAGAAGACCAATATCAATTGATTCATGACGGTCTGTCCAAATTTAGTGTCCGCACTGCAGCTGTGTTTACATAAACGGCGGCGGCGCCCTGTAATATGAGATGACAGCCACAGCGGCGGATCGTTCTGGGTCACGGTCACCTTGTCACGAATCTCCGTGTTCAAGGACGTTGTACTTCGAAAGTCTGCTAATATATTGCTTCGTGAATTTACCGTTAAGCAGCGGTTGTGTCGGTGCTGTTAGGTACAGTTTGGTTAGTTGTTCCGCTAGATGCCGTCGCGTCCACGATGGACCGGTTGTCGCTGACGGCGGCGGCAAACTGAGCATTGGCTGGTGACGTAGTATATATCCGGGTGGCAAAAGTTTGTTCGCTAGGGAATAATTATAACGATATTTTTACCCGCTCACTTATAGATTTTCTTGAAACTGAATATACTGATGGTCTTGATGCTTTGTGAATATTTTTGATTTCTGACTAGCGACTGGTTTATTAATTCTTCGCGTTTGGATATTAGTATGTTCGAAAACACCGCTACCACCAGATATGTTGAGCGCGTACTATAATTCTGCACTCAATCGTATATTTTGTTTCGAACGGTATCGGCACGCAAAAGATATAACTTGGTTTGTCAAAAAGGATGCCTTGTATTTATTAATATGAGAAATGTTTGGAATACAATTTAAATGATGCTCTGCACATTAACACTCTACTTTACACTAGGACTGTTTTAACAATACTGCCCAAGCATCCATCGGCAGACCGGGCTTGGTATTCATCCCAAAGGCTTTCCTCAGCAAATTCCTTGCTGTCCGCTCTGCTCGCTGGGCGACCAATTCATGGAATTCTTATTCATAACTAGATACCATACTATATTCTATATTCTTATATAGCAGGGTTCCCTAACACAATTTTAAAAAGCGGGTAAGTGGATGTCGCTCTGCTGTATATTAGGTGTCTAAGAGGTCACTGTAAGGGATGGTAATAAATTTGAATTAAATTATATCAAATCATTTTATACGAAAAACGATTCTGAGCGGAGACGGTATGTCAGTTTAGGATATTTTATATTGTTATTACTTATTATTAATATAGTGGCCGTAAGTTAAATTAATATTATTCTTAAATTATCAGTGATGCTGGAAAAATATTAAATATAATAATATAAGATTGGGCTGTTTTTTACCGAATTACTACAAAATGATAAACATTATTTTTTGTGTTAATATGCAATTTTGTCCAAATTTGAACTTAAAATGTCTGTAAAAAATAACTGCATTCATATATTTATTAGATTTCTTAGCTATAGAAAAAACTGCTAAGTGGAACCTTGTTTTAAATTTTCAATTCTGAGCTATAAAAATTGAAAATGTTATCCATTTTTAACAACAAAATCATTTTCAATTCTCAATTTAATACATATTGTCAAAATTTGAACTTAAAATGCTTATAAAAAAAAATCGTTCAATTGTATTTAAAAAAAGTTTTTAACTGCTATCGTAACAAGTTATCAAGAGTCTTGTATTAAATTTTCATACTTATTAACCCAACCATTAAAAGCAACCATCAATACAGACATTCATAGAAAAAAAGTTAGAGGCACTTGGGTACTGCCACGGTTAAGCTATTGCATAGCAGAGCAGTATTGTAGCTATGTAACATGTTAGGTATATTATTTTTGTATGATATCAATTCAAGTGACACTTTTTAAGCGTGGCAACCGATTAGAAAAAAAATGTCTGCCCTGGGTGAGTCTTGCTACAGAATAGCTGTGTAGAACACTGAGATGATTTTGTGTTCCGCACTCGTATTTATAATCCTGGTCTCGCCCGCTACGGCGCTGAGTAATCGTCATGATTGTCTGTGATTGGTTATTGCGCGTGGTCGAGCGGTGGCGATAACGTTGGTTACACGTGGCATTGTCAGCGGCAGCCGAGTCAGGAACAGAGCACGATACAGACGCCGGGCGGTGACAGTACCTGTTGGCTGTCAGAACGGGTCCGTGAATAGCGAGTCGTAACCGGCACGGTGAGCACAAGCGCCGTACTTGTTGAGGCCGGTCTCGGGTTCTGTGACGCAGGGCGTGTCGGCGACCAATAAGCCGGTTGCTCATTTATTCATTATCGCTGAAAAACAATTGACGACGACCGCCGATCTTCGAATGAAGATAATAATAATAATAATAAGATCTTAAGGTTACACATTTTCGTTACGAAAAATATTTAAGTAATAAATAATTGAAAATATTTTGACTTGTGTTAAACCATTTACAGGCATTTAAAAAGATCACAATAACATCATCAAATATACTAAATTACTAAGTAATACTCTATAGGCGACAGATTGTCTTGCCTCATTATCGTTTTTCGTATACAATGATTTTATATCTTCTATCCATCTATGGTTTCTTTTGGACCAAATATCTTGTCATTCGGTTTGTTTAATAATTTTACTACGTGGAATACAAAAAAAAAAAAGAGTAGAAGAAAAAATTAAAATAATTTACAACGAATTCGGTACTTAGCACGTAGCATACTGAAAAGTACACACACACACACGGTTATACTAAGTAATATCGATTCAGATTTTATCGTATAGATAGTGTTGACATTGAGTACAAGTGTACGTATATTCGATATATATTTTATATAAACTAAAGTACAAGAGTTAACTATGTCTGAAAAATACATTTTATGAAAGGATTATTTGCAAATAAAAATTATAATAATGTGTTAAAATTGTAAGAAAAGCACAAGTTTCGCTAAACCCTGAGTGACCACCTAAACTAACACAATTTAGAAAACGCTTCACTAGAGTAACCACTAAACATTTCTCAAAATATTATTTTAACATTATCAGAGCCATTGCCTGGTTATTTTCTTAAAATCAGTGTAATACTGGCAACGTTCAATTCCTTTATCTGTTAAAATTTCAATATTTAAAATATACATACTACCAATAATATTATGGGGTTAGGTTTGGCTAAGTCTAACCTAACCTAACGTAACCTTTTTTTTTTCAAGCGCACCTCATTGTAGTTCGGGAGGTGCTCTCCCGTTAGGTAATATTACCACCGAACTACTTGGTGCCGTTTTCTATTAAGCAAATTACACAAATAATGGACTGTAGCAGGCCAATATCCTGCTCACGAATCCTCACAAAACAATTTATGACAATATTATTTGGGGCTCTATCCCCAAAACTTTGCCTCTCAGGCCACATTATGAACTTATTCTACTTTATGTCAATTTATTCTACAGCTAACACGAGCGGGATCTCTCCTCTTCTAATTCTCTCGTGTTCTTTTTGCTGCATGACCCGTGTTGCAAATGTTGACACAGCGTCCCAAAACTTGGAACATGAAGTCATTTTGTCCACTAATGTCTCGATTTCCAAACCTAACCTAATCTAACCTAACTTATGATATTATGTGCTGCCTCGGGTCACTTTATATCACCATTTAATTGGGCGAAACCCGAAGCCAAATATATATAACTCTTTCTTAGTAAAAAAAGACCAAAAAGTATTTGTCAAGTTAAGCCGAATTTATTCTCTTTGGTGTTCAGGTCAAATAGGTACAATATTCATTTTTAAGCATTCTTTTGCTATATTAAATCATATGTATCCTGTGTATGTAATTAGTACAAAATCTAAATTAGGAAAAAGTTCAGTATACTTTTAAAAAATACCTTTTTAAAACGGAAACCTATTGCAGCTAAGCATTTATAGATATTAAAAAAAATCATACAAAATATTTTGAAATATTTAATGCAAACAATTTTATCAAATTTTTAAAACATCAACAAAACATAACAAATAAGACATTGTAATGACTGTGGTAGAAAACTGGGATCGAGTCCTCGTAAAAAAAATTATGTTTACAAAGGGTTTCTTTTCCGGATGAATTGAGAAAGTTTTCTCAAGACTACCGTGGATGTCCATTATTTAAAGAATTATACTATTTAATTTTAGATTAACGAAATAATTGCTAATTAGGTACTAAGTTGTGTTTAATGAATACATATTTCAAGCTTGTTATTTATTAGCATAGATTATAGGCCACTGTGGATAAAGCAACACCAATGCAATCATTTTTGCTCAATTTAGATTCTTAGTAAGGTGATGAATATATTTGTTATACAATGGCGTATGTTGTTGTCTTTTTTGTGACACTTGAATTGCCTCCCAAATAAAGGAAGGTCACCTTTTTTCACATGGATTGCCTCCTATAGCATAACTAGATTATTAATTAATATATCGATAGTTGTACATGTCCTATCGTAAGTTGTTACGTCGATTTTCGTAGTATTTAAAAATATTATTTTGAAAAACAATTAATGAAGTTTCAAAATTGCAATATTTAAAAGTAAGTATTGGCAAATTAATTCAAACCTCTGAGGCTTTGAAACCAATCCAAGATACAACATAATAATAAACTTATAATTATTTACAAACTTAGTATTTGACTGCCTATAACATAATTATAATATAATCATAATAAAATATTATTTTAACTAAATGAATTTTATTTATTGGTCATTGATATTTTTTTTAATTTTTGAAACAGTACATTTACTAAAATGTTTATACAGTGAATTTATATAATTTACGAACGTTTAACAGCAATTGACAACAAATCATTATTTAATTTATTAAAAATTATTATAATGTAAGGTTGTAAATCGATTAATTATAGCTATGGTATGAGAGCTCGATAAGAGGTGGTAATTGATTATATGTTCGATCACAATGAGAGTCACAACTTAAAATATGATTCAATTCA